CCCCCTCCTTCTCCTCCTCCCTTGGGCACCCGGTGTGTGCCACGGCAGGTACCAGGTCCTGCACTCCGCTCGGTGACACCGGTGGTAAATCAGTTGTGCCTATATCGAGTGTGATTTTTTTAATTATTATTATTATTTTTAATTTTTTTGCCCGGAAACCACAGGTTCTTGGTTTGCAGCCCTTTCACAGAGCGCGTTTGCAAAGGGAGCCCGCAAAGCATGCAGAACGGCCATTTGCACATCCTTCTTACAGAATCCGTCCTATCATTTCAACTATAGCAAGCTATGATTTTTTATATATAAATATTATATAAATAATGTATAAAACCTTAAAAATTAACTATGTAAAATATTATTTCTGAAACAATTTTAGATATATCCACTATGACTATAAACTGTGTCCTGACCTGTGTTATTTACATTTTGCTGCTTAAAAAAGCATTGAATTAATTTTTTTATAGTCGACTAAAATATTGTAGTTCTGTGGTAGTAATATTTTAATGAAAATAACTGCAATTAGAGACATTTGTATAAAAAAATCATATTAAATTGTCTGTATTTTTGTAATGTTCCATTTTGTAAAGAGAAGAATATTCAAAGACTTTTGTAGAATACAAAATTGAAGTTTGTATCTGCGAAATTATTGCTGTATAAATGTGCTTTTTAAATAAAAGCTCATAACACAACTAAACATCCCGGTGTGAGCTGGTGTTCTGCCTTTGGGTTGCCAGGGAGCTAGGGCCCTTGCCCAGCAGGACAACTGGGGGTGACCCTTTGGGATTTGACGACACACGAGGGCTGTGGATCCAAAGGACCCGATGCCACGGCGGGGGGCGTGCGAGAATCACAGAATCACAGAATGGTCAGGGTTGGAAGGGACCTCTGTGGGTCACCTAGTCCAATCCCCCTGCCGAAGCAGGGTCACCTACAGTAGGCTGTAGAGGACTTTGTCCTCCAGGCACCTCTGGAGTATCTCCAGAGAAGGAGATTCCACAACCTCCCTGGGCAACCTGGGCCGGTGCTCCGTCACCCTCAGAGGGAAGTTGTTCTTCCTCATGTTCAGACAGAACTTCCTGTGCTTCAGTTTGTGCCCATTGCCCCTTGTCCTGTCGCTGGCCACCAGTGAAAAGAGCTTGGCCCCATCCTCCTGACACCCACCCTTCAGATATTTGTAAGTATATATTAGGTCCCCTCACAGCCTTCTCTTCTTGAGGCTGAACAAGCCCAGCTCCCTCAGCCTTTCCTCATAGGAGAGATGCT